TCTTGAAACTGTCTGTTTCACAGTCGACCGTGAATGTTGATGAAAGTTTGTACATTGGGCAGCGGGCGTTGTGCATATCGATCACCATACTAACGTTGTGCTCGTCGAGCGTTACCCAGAGCCATTCCGTAAACGAAATTCATATCTGTCATTTCTTGATTACTGAACTGAACCATTACGACAATTAGTAATCAACAAAACTTAGAAATATTTGGAGTCTTGGAATGACCAGACAAGAATAAACAATTTGACATCTGTCGAATTATTTGAGAAAATAAATCAATTCAATGCTTAAATATTAAAAGTATTGCGATCCAAACAAATCAATGTTTTGCTATTTTTTGAAAAAATATTGGATAAGATTATCCGTATCTACGTACCTGGAGGGTCTGAAAACAATTGCAAATCATGTGATATTCACCACAGGGCATACCTACTTAATTAAAATAAAATACGTTAGATCCTTTTATAATTTTTTAGAACAATATCATCATTTCTTTTAGTGCTAATATGCTCTAGCTTGAAAACCGAGCCGTTGCGGACCAATGTTCATATAAAAAATTTATCTTCAAATTGACCAAGGATTCGATGGTTGAAGTTTGTCTACATACTTTACTAACTAACACCCTGTATATTAATTTTATAATATCATTGAATTAGAAAATAATTTGATTTATAGCCGTTATTAAAAATCAAGTACTGGCAATAAAATGTAAAATGTAGCTTGCGTGCTTATCTTGACTTCAAATATCTTGTAAAAGCAGAGATAAAAATCATATAAAACATATTATGTGGGTATTAAATTTACATCTGGCTTTCAAGGTCTAGCTAGTTGATTCAAATAAAATGTTCTAGTGTGTTCTGCAGCTATGTACAGTCCTTCTCTATTTATCTTTCGGTGGAGATAAAACCACTTTTCTGCAACGCCATCTTACCGAGATGCTTAGTTTTATGTTTGCAGTATTTAATTTTATGATAAATGGTTGCTAGAAAAGTATCATTTTGAAGTCCGCAAAGATCAGTTTTCTTGCACATAAAATTTCATATATTTTTTGTATGTAAACGTTCTGCTGACCAAGTACTTGCATATTCCCTTGAAGTTGAAATGTCTTTCTGGGATAAGTATATATGGCTATTCTAACGTATGTCCTTAAAGTGTTGGCACAAAATTCATTGGCTTTAATTTTAACAAGTTTGTTTACTTACTTAATGTCAGTTAACATTTATTTATTTTGAAGTTTCGCTTTAAGATGTCGTATAATAAATTAGAAATAAGAAAAAGTATCTGAAATCTTTCGAATATTCGAATTTTGGTGTTTTATATACCCTGGTAATCTCAGGCATGTCTTGAGAAAATTGTAAAGGGACATGGTGTGCGTTCATAGTAGGTCAATTTGTTCACGATTCCGGTTCTGGCCTAGGAATCGATTCTATCGATCTGATCACGTTTCCGATTCTGGCATCGGAATCCATGCCGTCGATTCATTCACGATTCCGATGATGGTCTCGAAATTATTCCTTCGTTAATGTTCACGATTTCAATTCCGGCCTCGGAATTAATTCATCCGATTCATTCACGATTCCGATTCTGGCATCGGAATTGATTCCTTCGATAGGTTCACGATTCCGGTTCCGGCCTCAGAGTCAATTTCTTCTGTACTTTCACGATTTCAGTTCATGGTAATTTGTATGCGATGCCACAGAACGATTCCGATTCTGGCCTAGGAAGTGATTCGTTCACGATTCTGGCCTCGGAATTGGTTCCTTCGATTGGTTAATGATCCCGGTTCTGGCATCAGACTCGGTGTTACTTTGATTCGTTCGCGATTTCCATTCTGGTCTTGGAATCGATTCTTTCGATAACTTTCAGAATTTCAATTTCGGCATCGGATTCGATTATTTCGAATCCTCAATGATTCCGATTCTGGCCGCCTAGGAATGAATTCCCCCGATCCATTCATGATTTCGATACTGGCAACAGAATCGGTCCCTTCGATTTGTTCTCGATTCCGATTCTGGTCTCGGAATAGATTTTTTGGATAATGTTCACGATTTTAATTCAGGGCTCTGAATCGATTCTTTTGATTCTGGCATCGGAATCGATACCTTCGATTCGTTCACGACTCCGATTCTAGACTTGGAACGATTCCCTCATGATCTCGATCCTGGCCTCCGAATCGATTCATTTGATACGTTCACTATTCCGATTCTGGCCTCGGAGTCGATTTCTTCGGAATGTTCACGATTCCAATACAAATTATCTATTATCCTTGAGCAATGAAATGCAAAGGATTCGTCAACTTGCATGACTAAAATATTAATTGCGTGGAATAGTATTTCCTCATTAAAAATATAATATAGAGAACATTAAATGGCAACAATCCCCTACACTCCAAATTTCATTACTCCATACCAAATTATCATTTAGGTCGTGTCTCATTTTTTTAGTCGCTGCTTTCAGCACGCTGCAAAGAGAGGCGTTGGGTTGCTAGCCTCAGGCCACTTGTACACGGCACGATTTCTTCATCGTACGACGTGGTAGCCGCATGGTTAACAAAACGTGCAAGCTTGTACATGGCACGACAAAGCTACCGGTCAAGACAACGGCTAGGGGACCAGGCTCAGTTGAGATTTTTCTGCGGCAAGCTGCAGACGACCTCGCCATGAATCCACATAAGAAAAATATTATCCTTGCATACTACGTATATAGATAGCTCAAAAAAAAAGAGAAAAAAAGAAGGCTTTGGATACATCCACTTTTAGAAAAACTGGAGAAATTTGGAGCATTGCATACACTTGTCAGGAATCAACTTAAGGAAGATGGAGACAAGTTTTACAATTATTTTAGAATGCAGAAAACGACAATCGATAAATTGCTCCAAAAATTTTGTGTGACAAAAACGTGAAAACGTTGGGCACCGTCAACAAGCGCCCAATTGTCTGTGATACAACACTGATGAAAATGACGCCGTGCGCAGACCCGGCACGCCGTGAATGTCAACAAGCTTCCATAGTGATCCGTATAACACTGACAACCGTGCCTACCCACGGCGAATTAACAGTAAATTTTCATGCAGAAAAAAACGTGTGTGTACAAGAGACCTTAGCGTCACTGTGATGACCCAAATGGATCTATCTATCACCGCATCAGCAGCAATATTCGAATTGGAACAGTATCGTTTCTTTCAAACAGTTTGTCCGAATCGGAACCATAGGAAGCGATTCCTTCGGAATCATCGTAATTGGCCTCCTATATACCTGATGTGGTATCGTTCCTAATGCCCCTTTCACACAGTATCCGACACGCGCGCGCAAATAAACTTCCCTACGCCGGACATGCGGCCTCCACGCCGGTCTACTCTGCGAAGGGCTATAGTTGTTATTGGGGTTTTCAAACGGTTCAGCGCGCCGCACGTCCCAACCTCTAGTTTTGGATCTGCCACTTTTAGAGTAAAGACGTACGTGTACGACGTTTTTGTTTTTGGTCAAATGTTGTGCTTTGTCTTTCCTCACTGTTCTGCAATGAATTGAATAAAACGTTGAAGGACCCAGACGTATGTCGATTTTGAAGCAATGGGTGTATTCAAAACCGCCTATTTCTTCTTCTTATTCGCCATTTCCATAGCAAGTACATGGCTAGCACCTTCTTCTTTCACGCTGTGTTCATTTCAATAGCTAGCCTCAACTGAACAGTCAGAATACGGGAGCGCCGCACGGCGCGTACCGGATTGTGTGAGAGAGTCCTTAGGAACAGTTCTTTTAGGACCGGCCCATCTCTACTGTGGATACTTGCTGATCTACCATTCGAGACATCACATGTTTTTGCTGTTTTCAAATAGACAATAGACCAGTATTATTTCAGAGGTTTCTGTTTCGCAAAGTTAGCGTTTGGTTGATTCAGAATCCCATTTACCTTCCCCATGTCTATATTTAAGCTTGAAATATGGATGTAACATGCTAATAGAACGTTAGGATCTCTAAGCTACTTAATTGAACTGTAAGACCGTAACGGGATCGTTTTTATGTATGTTCTGTCTTCTTGTTTCTTGAATAATCAACGTATTGAGGAAAAGGAAACCTTATCCTTATCTCGTGATAATAACACGTGATTTCAAGTGTATTTATAAGAAAAACACGTGAATTATAGTTATCGTGCAATCGTCAGAGACAGTGGCGTATACAGAAAAAAGTTCTGGTGGAGGCTCAGCCGGGTGTCCACGAACTTGTTTTCCTTAGTTTTGCTCAGAAGTGCCCTTAGTGCTCATGCGGTTGGCCGAATTCTAGCAAAAAGCCGTTAATTCCGGCTGGTCTGAATCTAGATCACCGATAACTTGATTTGGTACAAATACATCTCGACAATCGTGGCAGCTATTGGGAAAGCTGGGCTATTTAATTAAGGCAAAGGAGTACTTTTCTCCACATAACCTCCTAATCTGTACAAGGTCCCGATAAGATCTAGCCTCGAGTACTGCTCACGTGTTTGGGTTACTACCGAACCGATTGCATTATGCTCGATGCTGTTCAGAGAAGGACTGTCCGACTGATCGATGACTTTTCTCTAACGGACAGTTTCGGGACCCTCTCGCACCTACGGCGAAGGGCCGTCGGAGATCGGACTCTCTTCTGCCGCGATATCAACGAGCTTTGCTCCTAAAAGCTCTCCTCAATGATGGCGCCGCGCGACGAGCCTGCTAGACAGACCCGCCTGATTTCGGCCTCCCATCCTAACCGTGTTGATCTTCGTACATCCAGGACTGGCTAGTACGACCGCTCCTTTGTTCCTAGGACGTCGAACAACCTGCGCGAGGAGACTGTCCCCAGCTCTACTAACCTTAGCCAGCTTAAAAGTGCCTTTACTCTCCTTCTGTCAGTCTCGGTGCAGCTGTATTTAGGCTTCTGCCTACGCGGCTAGCTCGGTATAAAAAAACAATAGCCCTATAATGATCATGTATGGACTTTCCTTATTTCCACTTCGAAACATTTATTCTTTTTTCTTCCAGCGGCGTCGTACCGAGGCCCCGGCGCAGACGAAGAACCCGAGCGGTACGAAGCGCGCGTGGCCTTCACCGGCAACTCGCGCATCCTCGGCCCAGGATGCATCGTAGTGGGCGTGGTCATGCTTGCCGCGGGTTGCGCCCTCTGCGTATTAACGCGAAGGGCGGGGAGAAGACAGAGAAGGGACGTCGAGCGACAGCCGGTCGGTTTTCATTGCCCCCTACATGGAGACTTCTACCCATTGGCTACCGGCGGTGGAGGCGGCAACGCAGGATCCGGTGGGATGGTCTCGGTGGAGTCCACGGAAGATAGCGCTGGAAGTGGGGATCAAATTGGTGAGTACAGTTCCCGATATACTTATAGTATTTATATTTTTTATCCACGGTCGTAACAAAGTCATAAAACCGAGAACGCGGCACCTGCTAGCTTGAGGCGGTGCTGGGTGCGGGAAGGAGGTGGGTTCTAGCGGTTGGAGTTGCTTTACATATGGCACAGACAAATTATCGGAATTTGTTGCTACGCCCATATTGAAAAAATACTATTTATTTTAGATTCTCTACATTCAAAGCAATTGAACTGTTGTGCTTTTTACGTTATTGCAAATTGCTAAAATATATAATTTATACAGATGATTCAACTTTCATTATTTAGGTCTGTATCATTTAATGATCATACCATCATACCATAGGCGTGTCGGTCCGCTAAAGAAGCAGAAAGAATATGTAAACAGACACTGTAAGTGTGTCGTAAACTATAATTGTATTTGAATTGGGATGGGACGTGGAAAGGGTCGTGGAGCGCCGAGTGTATTTTACTGTCCTTTCTGCGGACTTGACATTGCAAGCATTATTGCTAGAAGTTGCTACTTCTGCTGAATTGCGCTGCACGCCAATTTTTTGACCAAGAATATTAACACATCCGAAGACGAAGGTTGGGTTAATAATAAATAATGAAAGTTTTAGCTTGCGGATCCGCGTTTTATTATAGAAATGTTTGTTTCAATGTGTATTTCTGGATCGAAACTTGTGATATTTATTTAGAAAAGTCTGTACTCAGTACTGTACCGTACGGGATATTTGCATGGTATGGCCGGGACCAGAACTGTATTCATTGTAGCGGAATGTACCGGAATGTTTTCGATACCAGTAGCGTAATCGTTATTTTTGGCTCTTTAAACACCGATTGCAACAGTAAACAAGAGAGTGCAAGGGATAATAGTGTTCCCCTTTCTCACCCTTCCTATGGAATCCTTGATTAGGGTATAAAACAGCTCTCGCTCGGTGGCATTCAGGATGGGTCATAGACAGTATCACAAAGTACCCAAAAATGCACCAAAAGTAATATCCAACATCTGACTAAAAATATTATTTGGTGCGGATCAAACGCTGCCTGTAACCGTCTTTATACTGCTAACACATGCTGCATAAGCACAAGATTCAAACAATAAAGTTCACTGATTTTAGGATGTAAAATACACATCTCGTAACTTTGTTTACAGAAGCCAGAATAATGTTTGGTTTACTGCCACTTTTATAAGTTCCGGCTATAACGAGGAAGTCTGCTACTATTCAAAGATGCATTTTTACATTTCAAAATAAACAAGACATGCGGTGAAGTCAGCCAGGTGTGCTTGGGTCTTAGGTTCAGAATTCCGAAGGAATTTTACTCAAATATACAAATTGTGTAAACAAGATGCAGACTAACTAGGCCAAAGTGGACCCTGTTATAGGAAAATTTATATTGATAAATTCTACTAAGGAACAGTAAATTCAAAGTCCCGCCATCTAGAGAAAACTTTTGCTAGGTTTTTTATCAAACTTCAAAGTTGAAAAAGGTGGGTTTTCGCGTGTGCATAACTATGATGTGTTCATTTGTACAAGTAGTCTACAGAAAAGCATACGGGATCAAAAGACCTTAAAAAAAGTCCTTAATTAACTGGCCAAAATTTTCAAATCTAAATCAAGACGATCACGATATGAAAACGAATGTCGGAATACGTAAATACATGATTTGCATCACGTATTTATTTATATATTTCGAGCATTCAGTCGGACTAGCGACTGAACTCTTCCACGTCAGACACCTTGCGTCAATTTCCATTAAGCTGTTTGGGCTGTAGTATGTGAAATAGCATTTCAGAATTATTTCCCGGAATACAAAGTAGCCTATGTGCTACTCCAGACTACAACCTAACTCTATGTAAAATTTCATCCAGTTCACGCACTGTTCCTTAAAGAATAATATTAGCAAGCGTTAACAAATTGACTGCGAAATTAGCTTAAACATAAAAAAGCCTAATTCTGAACTTTGACGATGAATAAACATGTTACCTAGTGTAACGTAATGAGTGCCATCTGTTGACGGCACTAATAAGAACCATCTCGCAGTCTACAAGCTCTGCAATAAATTAGTAATGATTTAGTGCTGTTAAGCAGTAATAATTAATGAAATAAAAGTAGTAATAGATTCGTTTGAAAATAGTGTTTTCATTACATTAGCCTTTTTTACCTCTATGTGAGGAGCCTTTTCGTCAACCCCATTGCAAAATACGTATATACATTTTTCTAAAACTCTTGAAAATGTTTCGCCTCAAAAATGCCTCTACATGACCTCTCAATCAGTCGAAGTCAACTACATGTTTTCAATCATTCTTATATCTGCATATCCATTGTGTTTAAACCACAACGATGATATGACGGATTCTGAGTAATATGCGGTCCACCTATTACGTAAAGTGCAAAGTTGCCACAATATTTCCTGTGGAATTAAAGTAATCAGCATTCTGCATGCATAATAAACAGCAAAACAGCAAGCGACTTGGTGCAAGTTCATTCAACTTGACGTTACTGCTGGTGCAACGGGCGGTGTCGAGACGTGCACGTGCCAGTTTTGCCGATGAGGTAACCGCATGCGAATGCGAACGAGTATGGATTTCCGATTCGTTTGCATCAACGTCACGTGGTCAGCGTGCCGGAAAATGTGAATTTCCTTCGTGGTAGGCTGCTTTTATGGGGGAATCTCAATAAAAGAATACAGTCTGAATAGCAAGAATGGTGATGGCACATGGTGCTTTGCGTCTTATTTCCAGTGTTGCAAAACATCCTCGTTTGGAAAGAATCAAAAAAATTTATTTTTCGATTAAAAGTTGATTGAATTCCTCCAATTTTTGCTCATTTTTCCTTAAATATGTCAATAATACACTTTGAAAAACAACTTATTTCCATTATATTTCTGTATTCGCCCAAAATATTTGTTGTCGCATTGCAACATTCAGCGTGTCCGTACCACGTTCATCATCAATTCACACACGAAGCATAATTCTATATAGAAATATCGCGCCCACCTCGTATGTGCATATCGCGTCACCGCGCCGCTTGCTACTTGCTTGTATAACTCCCTCAGATCCACTACCAAATCCATGATGTGTGGAATATGTCTAATGGGTGCGTAGAATTACCAGGGTTGGCTATACTAAGAACAATTTCCATATTAAACACGAACTGAGATCTTTATAGTTATAACAAATAGCTGATGCTAGATGGCGCTTTATGATGTCTAGCCATGTACTGAACTGATCCACTATAAATGATTCCTCGGGACTGTCAGATATCCATTTGGGAAACAACCTTATTACAAAGAGAACTTGTTTATAACGCAACAGAAGAGCTATTATTTAAGTAAAAAAAACTTTTTAACATCGTGAACGTTAGCACAACAAAAATTGTACCTAGAAAAAGCACGTAGCGTAACGGCGAAGGACGGCGTGTCCTTTTTAATTTATGCATTACCAACAGAATTACATGTTAAATTGCCCGCTTCCTTATCATCTCCAGGCCGCTTATCATCTCGTCATGCCTCCATTTCTGACAACATCACGCGCTAATCTGCGCGAAATAACCAACAAAACCTAATTCCGATGCAATTTCTCCATGGAGACGCGTTTCTACGGAAGCGCTAGATGCATTTTCCACTTGGATGAAGATAAGCGCTGGGAGGGTTTATATTTTGTAGAGCGAGCAAGTCGTACAAGATGTCTACTTTCCAGAGATTTTAAGGCAGTAAAATCCCAACACCAACTGCATTAAACCATTTAAAAATATTGTTGAATATTATAACAGCAAACCGACCGCGAATTTAACAAAAACCAACGTTGTTTTTTTTTCTTCGCTTCCTACAAAAGCGACACGCTAAATACTAATTTAAGTACTAATATCACAATTAATGTTGGACCAGCGAAAGATTGCAAGCCGAAAGAATGCGGACAAAAAATTGCGAAGTTGTCAGATGTTCTACATAAAATGCGGTCCATACATATTAACATATTTAAGATATAGAATTGTTCCGCTGAATTTGGCAATGTAGCTGGAAAACCCAGGCCGCAGGTAAACATCCGGTCGCTGATTGGTCCAAAACTCTTATCTTATCTGAAACTAGAATAACGTGCCGATGGCACGGTCATTTATAAACCTACTCCCATAGGCGTAGGCAGTTGGCAAATACTTTGAAAATATAATTTACTGTTTAGTGGTGATAATGGAATTCAAGCATGGGAAAGTTATTCACAGCCAGGCAAGGGAAATAATAGCAAACGTGATACGTGCTTGCGATGCAGAAGCGGCTAACAATACTTTCGTTTATCCACTGGTAGCTAGAAATGCAAGGGCGGCATATTATACGGGTGTTAGTGAACGAACTATAAGTAAAATTAGAAAAGAAGATAAAGACAGGCAAAATGCAACCTCCACACAGCCTTTAGCTTCTCCCGGAAAAAAGAGATCACGCCCTTCTGTGATCCAAAAAATTGATGGAGTCGATTTTTCCATTATTCGGAGAATGATAGAAAAATTTTACTGTGATTTTAAAGTGGTACCTACTTGTAGTAAACTTCTAATCAAACTGAAGGAAGAAATGGAATTTCCATTTGGTAAAGAATCGTTGAGGCTGCTTTTAAAAGCAAAAGGATTTTACTGGCGTAAATGCCACAACAAAAGGAAATTACTAATGGAAAGACCCAGTATTTTACATTGGCGATACAAGTATCTTAGGTCTATTAAAAAGTTCCGGGAAGAAGGAAGGCATATTATTTATTTGGACGAAACTTGGGTTGATAATGACCTCACTTTCAAGAAATGCTGGCAAAGCGAAGAAATTATGGGTGTCCTGAGCAATATAAGTTCTACAGGTAATAAAGTTTCTTTCACCTCGATTTTGCTTATTATACATTTTTCTCAATTTTGGAATATTCTTAATAAGTGCTCATTTAATTTGTCTAATTGAATACATAATCCCTTGCAAGTATTTTTTTCTCAAAAATATGTTTTTTATACATAGTGAT